CTATGCCGCTGACTACGGCAGCCTGCTTTGGTGATCTATATTTGATGATGAAACATGTTTAGTGTTTTGCCCTGAATAAGTGACGTCGGCCTAGGAGCGTTATTGTTCTCTCTATTACGTATTGGGGTAAGAGGCTAGCCACTATGTGGAGATCGGCCCGCAGAAGACACGTAGGCGCGCGGTTTCCTGGGGAATTGGAAATGCTCACTTCGCGTTCTTGGCAATTATTTTGGGGCTAGCGCCCGTCTTAGCGTTATCACAATGTCCATGACTAGGTCTATCACATCTGAGCTGTTTGCCGCTGAGGCATGCTTGATCCTAAAGGAGCTTCCAGACGCCTAGTCATTGGACAGGTGAAATGTTTGGGTAAGCGCCTAGTCATTTTCAGCCTTGCATTAGCGCTTAGGCAATAGGTTTGGTGGTCTGAACCATGTATAAGATCCGATGTGTCCGCTCATCTAGGAAAAATCTCAAAATCAATAACACAATTTGAAACAAACTTGAACCTCACTTTCTTTTACACTCCACACTTTCAATACAATCACAAAATATTCACGATGTGCGACCGAATTTGGGAAATCTGCAGCCGATGTTTCGGCTAAATTGGATCCGTGACCGTGCGTCGATGCGGCAAATTCCCTTCTTGTGAAGGCGAGGTCGACGAGCCCTACTCGTAGGGAAATATGTGCTCTGATTGCCGAGCTAATGCTCCGCCCCTCCTGTGTATGCCACCCACAATTTTGAATACTATAAATAACACCTAACGTCTTAGTAATCTAGGATGAAAATCATTTCCGGTCGATCTATTGCAAACATGGGATGTTGAGATGGGTTAGTTATTTGCTAGGGTGTGCGGGTGTTTGCCGTTTATAGAAATGGGAGTCGGTAGTCACCTCCGGGTTGGGTCGGCGAAGTCTCATCTTACGCTCGGGGAGACTGCTGCAGAGCTAGATATATTGCTGTATAGTTGGTGACAATTATCTTGTTTGCTGCTTTTCCTGTTGTCTTTGTGCATAGTCCTTAAAATATCTGGTAGCCTGGCAAAATTCGCATCGAATTTTCTACTGTAACCAATAGTGTCTCAGAATCCTTCTAGACTAAAGTCCCTTCTCCCCAACGCAGACGACAGAATGCAAAGGGATGATGGATCTGATTGCCAGTTCTCAAGAACATCGAATCCTTGGGCTATTGGGGAAAGAATATAAAAAAATAGATCCTGTCGGTTCACATTATCTCCAACTAGAACCGACGACGATCATCATATGGTTCGCGAAAGCTCCTACAACTTTCGAGTAGCAGACCAACCACGCATTGTACTGTACCTGCTCCTAGAATAGCAACCCAAGGCCAATAGAGAAGACTGGATGCCTCAGATTTGGTTTTCTGGAAGGGCAGCTACTTGGGCTTCATGGTCGTCACCGCGTCTAGGCCGGACCTGAGGTGTTACCTCCCGCTGATCGTTGGTGGACGGTGGATCTTTACTCAGATGGTAACTATGTCGAGAAAAGATGGCTAATCATGTGCCATAACCGAGCGCCTTAGGTGCAGCTAGCGCTTCCCTCAGTTTCGGTGCATTTGCAACCAAGTCGGTTAAAGCCCTATATGACTTGATCAAACGCTTTTATGGATATCCAGATACCGTCAGGCATCTCAAAACAGAACTACACGGTCTCCTCATGGTTCTTGAGCGGGTTTAGAAGATTTAGCTAGAAGATAGTGTGCTTGCGGACCTCGAACCTATCTTGAAGGGGTGCCACATTGCTTGTTCAGAACTTCAGCAAGTTATCAACCGCTGCACCTCACGTTCCGATTTTCGGGATTGGGCGAAAATGGAATTCCTTGGGGGTAGTATTGGTGACCTTAAAGAGACGCTAGTAGGGAATGAAAGCACAATTACTGTTATCATCACTAGTATAAGCATGTGAGCTCACCCTTTGAGTAAATACCATTCCACTTGACACCACCTAACATTTCAATTAGTGATCTCGGACATATGACGTTGAAGCAACTGGAAGACTACTAGAGCGCTATTATAGATACGAATTCTCATCTTTTAGCTCAGCTTCGGAATGTTGGTTAGCGATCTTCAAATCAGGCAGAAGAGCAAGAGAAAATCAGAGAGGTAGAAGACGCAACCCTTCGCTGTATATAGGCTTGTCGTAAAGCTAGAACTACAATTGAACGAGTCCAACTAGAGTCACTTCACGACCCTATCAATGGGCCAGAGAAAAGCATCGCGGCACGCAAGATATGGTAGGTGACCGAAAGGGATCTCGAATATGCGCGCAAATTTTTCTTGGACAGCGAGGCTAAGCTTCTGAGGACGAAAGAATAGGACCTGGACCACCACTAGCGGCGAGAAGACCAAAAATTCTGGCTTGAACACCTCAATCATTGCAGATCCATTTAGAGAAGAGAGAGGAGGAGGTCCAGCAGGAGAAGACTTTGAGGTTTGAAAACATCTCTTTAAAGGATCACGCCATTCGGGTTATAAGATCTACTTCTGGAACTCCGCTCTGGGCTAAAGACATCAACGCCGAAGCCTAGAGCTTCCAAATTTTGGGTAATAATCTAGCGGCAATAATCGAGAAGCTTGCTGAGAACCATAGATCTTGCCGGCGAGAAAAATCTGAAGCACCGTCCAGAACTCTTTTTGGTTTCTTTAGGAGAAGAAGAAGAAATTAGCTGTGAATATAAGCAACAAGTAAGGCCCTTGGCATATTGAGTGAGTCAGGCGATTGGCGGGCATTATTGTTGTGGAGATGTATTTATTTTTATTTATTTACTTATCAAGAGCAATAGCGAGATATGATGTATAGGTACGAGATAGAGTTGAGATCGAATTTTGCGCACTCAACCTTTTCACCCCGGTCGCGCGACGCTAAGGCGGCGCCCACGTATTTCTCACCCGGGCGACACCCACCGAACTATTGACCGTACTTAAGCTACACGCCGAATGGCTAAGCTGGCTACCTGGTAGGGAAACAACTTAGTACTTATCAAGCTTTTGTGCATTAATAGGGTGTAAATTTCCTTAAAAATATACCCGTTCAATATCCATAGCGCAAAAATATATGCACGACGGGCTGGCTCATCATATAGGCGACGACTAAGGAAGAGTCTCACGGCTTGCGAAACCGTGGTCTGAAAACCGTGGTAAACCACGGTTTTTATGTTCCTCGCATAATAGTTAAAGTTGACACTGCCGTTTTCAACTCCTCTTAATACACCGGGTATGTCGAAAAGCCTTCCTACAAACTTCGGCCAAATGCTGGCCGGTCTCTATTAAGACTAGATTCGGAACGCCGATAAAAAGGCTAAAGTAGTTAAAGTTTCCGAAGGTAAGTCTTCTTCACTACGATCGTTGGTGCTGGCTTTAACCACATAATAGGTCGCCCATAGAGACTTGATAAACCAAAACTATCTCAACATCATCTAGAGGCACACCATAAAGCGACTCGATATCTATGTACACTGTATCTCACTTTAGCTAACAATTCATCTGTTGGCTTTTACAACCCGATTATAGAAAACCAAATTCCACCTAAAGCAGCAAGAGACGCCATTAGCGAGCTTGATAGAATCAATAGCCGCCTAATGGACAGAAACATTGCCAGCGGTTTACAAATTGGTCTCGGTCAAATTTAGTGGTAGTGCTTTATTGAAAAGTGGAAAACAATCCTTTTCGTGTTAAACAACACTCGCCAACCCGGAGAACCGGAAATAAAACCATTTATACTCGCCCTTTCAGATATATGCAAAGAATACGACTATCTAAGCGTATGGGCTAGTCTACCTCCTAGGGAGCCAGTAGAGACGTATGGAGTTAACAAGATAAAGACCGAGTAAGGACTTGGTCGACTTCTACCACTAGCCTTAGTATAGAATAGATATCGAAATGTATGGATTTAGTAGCTCGAGATCGCTATGCTATACCGCTTAATATAATAGAGTCTTTTCACGATAGAATAGGATGGTGCTTAATTATGCTCGAGATATCGGCTAAAAGTTAGATAAGAGAATGGATAGTATATCCATTATGTATAATCGTCTGCTTTATGGAAATAGTTAGTGGCGGGGTCGCTAACATGCACACTCTGGGGCCTAGTTATTGACGATAACACGGATTGGATTATAGGAAGGCTCTATGCCTATTTGCCGTTTGATATTGATATTCAATCCTATACATTTAGGTCTTGTTGGCCTCGATACCTATTAATAAAATACGAGGGTGGTGAATGTGGAGAAACTCTAGAATGCTAAGCGCCGACCACGATTTAGTTTCTATCTGCCGTATCACTAGCTTTTGGATAAAGTGTCGAATCTCATTTAGTCTTATGCCACATATATAACATTTACAGGGAGTGTTTATGTATTCTGATCTTCCTATGCGCGCGTGGTTGCGGTTTTATGAGCACTTAGCTGCAGTAAATTCTTGGAGTTAAGGCATAAATCACTTTAAGATCACCGCGCGCTAATTGATATAGAAGCACCCTATCCTCTATCACTCGATTCAACGGATTCAACCTATTCACTCTGGCTCTTATCCCGTCGAGCCTTACCTTCTTCCTTATCGATGACACCTTTTCCTGTGCCTGAGATAACATTGAAATCCTGTCTATCAAAAATGGCATCAATCTCCTCTAAGGATAGCCCGGCGGTCTCCACATACCATAGGGAGACCATAGGGACAAAAGTAAGTTTAGCACGGCATAAATGATGTAGTAACACTAAGAAATATTCTTAATACCAATGGGGGTCACTAAAACAACAGCGTAGTTGCAGATCTAGTTGGTCGCGGTAGCAAGGCCAGCACCGCGGTTGCGCTAGGGCTGAGTGTTCACTTCGGCTGCGTATATCTATGGAATGGCAATCTAAGATAAACCGAATATAGTGTAGAAAGCGAATACAAAGGCTATCGCCACTGATGACCACTTGGTTCCTCTAACAGCTAAACCGGCGGTAAGAAGAGCGAAGCATGTACCTTGCCTAACTGCTCCCTATATCATAAGTCGCTTTCGACCAATTATCTTAATCACGGTGATGGCCACCGTAGTGAAAATCATAACATTGATGGCATTGTAGGCAGAAAGGATAAGCGACATTTGTCGAGAGACGTGTAGAGAGGTGAACACAACGGGTAGGTAGTAATTGATTGCGTTGATGCCTCCCCACTGCTGCATTAACTGGGTTCCTATCCCTAAGAGAACTCTCCGTCGGGTATGTAGGCTGTCACTTTGTAGGAGGGCACGCCAGCTGACCTTGGAAACCTTAAGTTCATGCTGAATACCCTGAGTAGATGCCTCGTGTAAGGACAACAGCTCGGGATTGTGAATACTTTTGGCATGAAGTCGGGTAGTAACGGCTTTTGCCTCCTCAAAACGGCCCTTTTGAATGAGCCAACGAGGGGAATCGGGGAGCCACGGAAGAAGGAGGGTTGTAATAAGGGCGTAGAAGATTTGGAAGGCAATCGGAAATCTCTAGGAGATAGTTTGATGGCCGATATACCCAAGTCCGAAATTGAGCCACTGGGCCGTTACGTTGCCTAGTTGATTGAGGGCAAGGTGGAGAATAGCTAGACGACCACGATGCTGAGGTTTTGACATCTCTGGTTGCTAGACGGGAATTGTAGTTGTGTTGAGGCCATTTCCGAGTCCCGTAATGAATCGACCGACGATCATCTGCGCTATGCTGAACGATGTGGTTTGTATCACTGCCCCGACCGTGAGAACGAGGCATCCTAGTCCGATGGATAGTCGACGACCGATTCGATCGCCGTAGGCTATACAGAATATCGCACCGAAGAAACACCCGAGGTTATAGGTTGCCGTAATCTGCCCAATTGCCATTTGACTTGGTTGGTTGAAGGTGTTCTGGAAGTCTCCATTCTCAATTAAGCCACTAAAGACTCCTTGGTCATACCTAAAGAGAAGGAACCCGTAGGACGTGGTGAATGCAACGCCTAAGGAAAGCTTCGTACCCTTAAGATGGAAGCCCATATTGAACAGACTCCGATAGCGAAATAATAAGATTGAATAAATGGTCATATATTGTAGGGACTAAGAGTGATCCCGGTGGAGATGTTATATCGACCCCTACCCCTATGGGCTTGTAAATCCGGGGCATAGCATACCCCGCACCCGGAACACATATTACTATGATGCATTCTAAGGTTAAGATCCGGGTTTACGATGCCGTCCCGTGTACTTTGGTTGAGCCGATCGGAAGAGGATCATAAACTTCTGGGATTCGAATCCCGGTCCGCGATTAGGAGACTAAACTAGAAGATAGTTAGCTTCAATAGGTAAGATGGGTGACATGAATGAATTTAAGGCTGTGTAACGCGTTGAGAGACCAAGTATTTAGCGTTATGATCAGCTGCTAAGCCAAACGATTGATCACCCCTTTCGTAAACAAATCAATGATAGATATCATTCACTTATAGCTGAGCGTAGTTAGAGTGTAGTGGAAAGAGTGCCTGATTATAGAGAAAGAAGGAGAGAGAGAAAGAGGAAGGACGCTAAAGAAGCTGGCAGGCGAAGTGAGAGGATAGTATTGCGCTAAGCCCTACTAAGTAACTAAGTGGGTCTCCCAGTCGATCGTAAACGACTTTACATATGAACATTTCCTAACGTGATCGTCTTGAGAGTCTGGTACTCGGCTATGCTATATTTACTGCCTTCTAGGCTATATCCGCTCTCCTGGATTCCCCTAAATAGCGATTCGGCTGCGCTAATCTTTCCCGTGTTGACACCACATATGCCGAGTTCAAGCTCTCGTGCCACGCGCATGCATGACGCGCCCCACCTTGCGGGAAAAGAAATATCTAGCAAGGCCAAATTCGGTTTTGTTCGCTAGTTCCACGACTTTATGCTTAGTATCAAATGGGAAGATCGGAGCTAAGGGACCAAATGTCTTATCTTGAGAAACTACCATGTCCGCTGTGACGCCGGATAGGACGGTAGGCTGTATGAAGAACCTATCAACTTCGGGTGCTGAGCCTCCGATTTCGATGGAGGCACCCTTCGAAACTGCATCTTCAATATGTCTCTTGACTTTGTCGACAGCGGACGCATTGACCAGCGGGCCCTGCGTGTAGGACTCTTCGATCCCGGGTCCCAGGCGAAGTTCAGACGCTTTCTGAACTAGTCGTTGCGTAAACTCGTCCAAAATGCCTCTTTGGACGTAAATACGATTGGCGCTATTGTATTGTTAAGGCTGGTTATATTGTACCGTCGAATCTAAGAACCAAACTTACCACGTATAGGTCTGACCCGAGCACCGGAACTTGCACAACATGGCACCTTCAATAGCTAGGTCGACATCGGCATCTTCGAAGACGATAAATGGAGCGTTGGCGCCAAGCTCTAGGCTCACCTTTTTCAGCGTTCTAGATGCTATTTTGGCCAAATTTTTGCCGACATTAGTCGATCTAGTGAAGCTGATTTTGCGAATGAGAGGGTGTGTCGCGAGCTCTGAGGCTACCTGCCTATTCTTTGTTGGGCAGACCTGAATCACCTCGCCAGGAAATCCGGCCTTTATGGCCAGCTTTGTGAGAGCGAGACAAGTGAACGGAGTTTCGCTCGGAGGCTTGATAACCACGGAACATCTAACGGCAAGAGCTGGGGCGACTTTGCGGCTGATTATGGCTGCTGGGAAGTTCCATAGAGTGACGATACCACAGACACTAACTGGCTCTTTCATAGTCATCACCACTGTGTTGGGCGTTGAGGATGGGATTGTGTCACTATAGGAACGTGTGGCCTCTTCGGTAAACCAAGTAATAAAACTTGCAGCGTAAGCCACCTCTCCCCTAGCCTCGTTAATGGTTTTTCCATTCTCGAGGTATAGTATTCTTCCCACTAGATGTGTATGTTAGAACCAGACTTGAATTTCTAAACAAGACTGGATAGTTCTTACGGTCTTCAACGTTTTCAATGACCAAGTTATGCCACTTTCGCAAAAGACTCCCGCGTTGCGCGGCTGTAGTTGAAGAGTAATACTTTTTCCGAGCCACGTTTGCACTTTCAATGGCTGAGTGTACATCTTTAAGATCGCAATTTGCCACAGTCCTAAGGACTTGTGCTGTGGATGGCTCTAGTGAACAATCAGATGGTGTCCTATAAAGTGATCCTTGAAGACGAACCGTAAACCTTGAAAGTTTCCTTCCTCTTAATCCAGCATCCGTCGATAAGAGCTTGGTCCTGAACAAATAGTTCTAGATTCTTTATAGCTATTATGTTTTCTGTAACAGCCTCTATAACCTTCTGAGAAAAGGCAACGTCGGGCATTGTGGAGGAGTGGTTTGTAAGCGAAGTTGAATTAGATTTCCACGATAAGTTGAGTAGGGCGGCCTCTTTCGTGTTAATGCATCTCTGGTTTATAAATAGTCCCTTATTAACCCTTCTTTGTTCGGGATATTACTCCCGGGAGAACCACGCACGCTGCCCTTTTCCGAATACCTGTCCCGGAAGTTGATTTCTCTAGGCAGCAAACGCTACTTAGTTGCAACGCGATTTATATCTTTGAGGTGCCGTTATCTGGATGGACTTGAACACTTTATAGCCTATGTAGGCATAAATAGCTACTATATCTCTTTCGACTGATGCCTCTCTGGGCCATGCGATGTCCCCCGTTAGGATCATGTTATGGATGGTGGAATACACGTCTTTGGGGACTGTAGATGCGCTGCTCTTCGTATTCTCTTTCAAATAATGTCCTAGCTTTCGCTTTTCTCGATGATATATCCGAAGATTTAGAGTTAGAAGAGTCCTTAGATCTTTGCATCCTCGATAAAGTATTTTTCATGTATATAACTAGCACATGTCCTTCCCTTGCTGTCTTTAAGTATCGCTCGAACTGTCGCTATTCGCTTTCCCGCCACAATATTGCTGTATTCCAGCCTGGCTTGTATACCAACTGGAAGAGGCCGATGAAACTAAACGGCTAGCGACCTGCTGACACCTAAATGGTGCTAAAAGCCGGGCTTGGAAATAGCCAACAATGCCGTTGAACTTAAGTTATCGAAGACCGTTGATATTGCACCACTATGCATAACGCCATTTTTGTTGCATATGAAACTCGTAACATGTAGGTCGTAGATAACCATTTGTCCGGGTGCGTCTTCGTCGGCGATGCTGACGCACTTCAAGATGCCTGTTTCGAATCCCTTAGGGTCTGCAACCAAGCAATTAAGGTATTTACGAACACGTGCTCTTAGTGAGAGGCCAAAGTCAGTGACTTGATATACATCTTGCGTTATCTTTTAGAAGACAAATATTTCCGTCGTGTTTGGTGGGATTGATCAACTGCTCTAAGTGTTAGATAGGCTAACCGAATGAACTAAAGCTAAAACGCACACTTACGTCGGAAAAGGATGGAGAATTGATGCTAGAGAGGTTGTTCGAATGAATACGGGGACTATCAAACATATATTAACGAGAAAAATAAATGTTCAACTAGAAACTGTCGCGCTTCTATAATAAGGAAGGGTTTTATCTGATTGTGATGTGTTTGGATTGAAGGCACTAACGTCGTTTTCTAGTACACCACCGAAATTCGGGATAGTTTCGAATGTGGCACTATAATATAATGCTATATAAAAACAAAAGAAAGAGGAATGCAAAAAAAGAGCTAATCTACATGCTGGGCATTGTTCACCGTTCGGTGTATTATCGGATTATGAATTCCGCTAGGAGACCTATCACGTAAAAAGACTTGCCATTTTTTTAGCTCTAGAGAGTCCGTTTTGTTTGGTCGTCCTAGGCTTTCTAGGAATAATAATCCCGCAGCCCTTTTAGTTGCATCCTTGTGCCTCAAAGGGTTAGAAAATGTGTATTAACCAGACTGAGAGAGGAAGAAGGAAGGTGAGATGTCGCTAGTGGTGTAGTGGTCGCAAATAGGGAATTAGTGGGTCTATCTATACTTTAAACAAAAATCTGCCCCACTTTGCTCTTACTTTCTCCGCGTTCTATTTTTCACTCCCTCTTCTCCTACTAACTAGTATAGAACCCGAAATCTGTTTTGCCCCTAAAAGAACTAGGATTCTTAAGGGAGGGAAAACTCGTCCCCGCCAACTAACTGAAGGATATACGTCTTTCACCTAATTTACGATACTACACGCATTTCTTATGCCGAGTTTACCGGACTCGATCTTTAAAACCTGATTAGATCTTCTATCTAGACAGGTCATCATATTAAAATTGCATAATCCTACTGCCATGAAAAAACAGTAAAAGCATTTGTGAAAATTTAGCAACTTTTAAAATCGTGTAAGATCGGGCAGTTCTTATACGAGCACGCAGCTTCCAGGTACTAGACATCTTTAGCCAATATCGGAACTTAGTATAGCTCGATAATCAATCATCAAGACCCTGGTATCTAGCTACTATCCACATTAACTGAGACCACTATTGGTTATCTTACGTGGCACTAAGTATAACGAAAAATCATCTCACTAAATTGACATCAAACAATGGAAAAGGAGGATGTAGCTAACTTGGTCAAATTAACTCCACATTATATTCCAGACTGAATGCTAATAATGAATATTTTGCTATCTAGTTAGAATAAGTTTGGTGTGTTAGGAAAATTTAAAATTGGTAAAAATAATAAAAATAATTCGGAGACGAGTGAGATACGCAGAGCTCTGTAAGGTCATATGAACGAGGTTTACGTGACCGTACGGAGCTAGGTGCACGTGACCAGATTAAGCTGGGTGCACGTGACCGCATAGACGTGTATATAGTAGTCTAGTACT